AATAGCACAATTGCATCTTGCCTGTGATTGTGATCCCCTCCTGAGCATGTCTTCCATTTGCTATGCTCGTTCCCTGTTTCCATTAATGATCTAGACCTAGTGTGACTCTCTTTGTCACCATCTTCTATTAATCTTCAGATATCTAATTAGTAACTTTGTAACATGAGGCTAACAAAATTCTCAGAGCTCACACAGGGTTAGCTATCGCCATCATTCCTGTTCCCACCAGCCAGAGCAAAAAAGGCCTCAAACACACACAGCATTGGATATAGTATTCCAAAAGCATAAAAGAACCTTTAAAGGTTCTAACTGATCTAACTGACTCATGTAACATAACTGTTCAACAAAGTAAAGTAAATCACTATTTAGAATGCATGAAGAAAAAAAAAACTCGGCACCCACCAAATAGTGTAAAATTAACAATGTCTGGCATTCAAATAATACAGGGGAAAAGTAGAAAAAGGATTTGAACAGACGCTTCTTTAGAGAAGGCATATAAATGATGAACAGGTAAATGAAAACATGTTAAATATCACTAATTATCAGAGAAATACAAATCAAAATTACAATGAGATTATCACCTCACATTTGCTAGGATGGAAGTTACCAAAAAATACAAGATAAATATTGGTAAGGATGTGGAGAATTTTGGAATTATCATACACTGTTCATGAGAATGTAAAATAGTGCAGTAGCTATGAAAAATAGTATGGAGATTCATCAAAAAGTTAAAAATAGAACTACCAGATAATGTAGCAATTTCTCTTACGAGTATTTATCTCAAATAATTGAAATCAGCATCTTGAAAATAAAATGCATTCCCATGTTCACTGTAGCATTATTCACAATAATCAAGATATGGAGACAATTTATGTCATTCCCCAGATGAAAAGATGAAGAAAATGTCATATATACATACAATAGACTATAACTCAGCCTCAAAAAAAAGAAAATCCTGCCATTAGTGACAACATACATGACGCTGGAGAACATTATGTTAAGTGAAATAAGCCAGTCTCAGAACAAATACTGCAAGAAACCACTTTTATAAGGTATCTTTAATAGTCAAACTCACAGAAGCAAAGAATGTCACAGAAGCAGTTGCCAGGGGCTTGAAAATGAGGGAAGTGACGAGTTGTTCGACCAACATAAAGATTCAGTTATACAAGGTGAGTAAGTTTTTGGGATCCACAGTACAACACTGTAGTTAATAATAGGGTATTGTGCATTGTGCAAAAAAAAAAAAAAAAAAAAAAAAGTGAAGATACTGTGTTAAGTGTTCCTGCCACAAAAATAAAACAAAATAAAAAAGGAGGGGCATGAGGAAACTTTGGGAAGTGTTGGATATGTCTGTTACATTGATTGTAGTGATGGTATTATGGGTGTTTGTGTATGTCCAAACTCATCCAATTCTTATTAAATATGTACATTTCTTTGTATATATCAATGATATTTCAATAAAGTTGTTTTTTAAAAGAATAATAAAAAGAAGATAGTGTTTGAGAGTAATTTTAGAAATTAGATATTAACTAGAGTAAGACCGTGGAAAGAAATATTAAATTATTTTATTCAAAGGAGCTGCCTTACATCCTTGCTTTCTAAAAAAAGGTGATTTAATTATCTCAACACTTACTAAGACAGGTATTTGAAAGAAATTTTTCTAAGAAGCAAATATAGTGAAGGTGATTTACATCTGAGCAAACAGTTGCTTTATTCTTTAAATGGTAATTTGGGAAAGCAAAAGCAAGTTTGATGTACTTTCTTTGTACCCTAATTTCCAGTTTTTAAAAATAGAATAAACACAAAGCCAGTCTATTTTTTCATTTGCTATACAATATCTATTTTTCCTTCTTTGGTGACAAATAAAAATGTACATGATAAACATGACCTCTAAAATCTCTGGGATCTCTAAACTGAACATCTTCATTTTGTATTAAAGGAAGCCAGTAGAATTTTGTGAGTTATTATCATAAGGTTAATTATATGTAAAAGTATTTTATGCATATTTTAAAAATCACAGACCAAATATTTTAAATATATATTACAAATATTCTATTATAGTGTTTTTAGAAACCAGTTTTTAATTTTATAATTTAGTATTATTTATTTTTTATTTTAGCAGTCATTTTTTGTTAACTTTTCTATAATAAATGAGACTCTTGTTATTTTTAAGATGTCAAGGTCAACTATGTTCAGTATTTGCTCATTTTCCTTCTCAGAAAAAATGACAGTTTTATTGAGGCTTGATTTATATAACTACCTATTTAATGTAGATACATTAAAGGCTTTCAAGAAGATATGCAACTGACAAACATTTTCTCTAGGCTACAATATTCTTAGATATTCTTATTTCTATTTTGTCAAGGGTATGATGCTTTTTTAAATTGTACTTTAGGTTCTCGGGTACATGTGCAGATCATGTAGTTTTGTTGCATAGGTACATACACGGCAATGTGGTTTGCTGCCTCCATTCTCCCATCACCTACATCTGGCATTTCTCCCCAGCCTCCCCACCCCCTGCTGTCCCTCCACTATCCCCATCAACAGACCCCAGTGTGTGAGGCTCCCTCCCTGTGTCCATGTGCTTCTTAACACATGAGTGACAACAGCACAAAGAAATAGACAGCAAAATGTGAATCATGACTTAACAATATTTATTTGCTTACATTTTTATTTACCTTAGTCCTTGATTATTTTAGTCAGAAGTCTAATTTCTATTGTAACTATTAATGCTATTAATACTTGATAAAAAATGACTAAAATTTTTTTTCAATAACGAACAGAAAAAAACAATCCTGCTCCCTGATTATTTTTTTAAATATCTTTTCTTGGGCCAGGCACAGTGGTTTACACTTGTAAACCTAACACTTTGGAAAGCCAAGGCAGGAGGATTGTTTGAGGCCAGGAGTTCAAGACAAGCCTGAGTAGCATAGTGTGACATCATCTCTACAAAAAATAAAAATATTAGCAAGGCATGGTACCACTTGCCTGTAGTCCTAACTACTTGAGGGACTAAGAGGAGAGTATCATTTGAGTTCAGGAGGTTGAGGCTGAAGTGAGCCATGATTGTGCCACTGCACCCCAGCCTGGGCAACAGAGTGAGACCCTATTTTAAAAAAAAGAAAAAAAAAAGATTTCTTGGTTTTACTTAATTATTTGAAGTCAGATATTTAAAATAGTTTATACTTGAATGCCTTGATTTTTAAAAACTTGCAATTTTAAAATAATTCTTAACCTTTAATTGTAATTTTATTTTCTCCTCTGCCATTTTGGAGTCGGCTTTCTTTTTACATAAATACATGTTTTTTATCACAAATGTAACTTAGAATTTGAATATCTTGAAATCCATATGATGCAATATACCTCCGCTTTCAAAATTTTACTTTACATGTAATGTCTATTTCAGCATGCTGACTTGAATGACAGGTGTTTTATATGTGTTTTGCATAGTCTGCATTTCGCCACTGCTATCACAAATGAATTTAAACATGAATTGCCTTTAAATTATTTTCTGCTATTAATAGGAATGCTACAAATGTTTTAAAAGAAAAGTTTTATGTTAAATATGGAGACAGTTTGTAAGGCCTTAATAGAAGAGATGTGAGATGAGCAGAGTTACTTTTTCTTCCTCAGACAACTAACATTCATGCTTAATAACACTGTATTTATATTCTTATCTTTTTTGAGAACTTGGTACTTTTCTGTGATTGGTGTTAGGGAATTGCAGCTGCCTTTTGCTGAGACAAACTCAATTACAGAGTTCATATGTCAGGGTGAGAAGATAATGGCTTTAAATATTTTATCCTCAAATGGCTTAAAAATATACTTCAGGAAGAAATCCAGTTATTAGGAAATTCATTACTTGAATTTTTTCTTGAGAATAGTTTCAACATTGATCAAATGGTTCAAATAATAAGTCCACTGGAAAAAGTAGGTCTTTCCAAATCCTTTTGAAAAAAACATGCTACACGCTTTTAGGAGAAAGTACTTTTGAGACCCTGGTGATTCAGCTTTTTCATTTCTCTCTCCAACATACTTAGTAATGCATTCTTTATTTGACAGCAGTTCAATTCTTCATTTTACTTTGCATCATTCTCTATGACGGTTTTTGGGTTGCACTCTACCGCCTCCAGAGCTTGGAGGAAAAGCTTAAGTACCTTGGTAGAGCTTTTGGGGAGGAGAGGATAAAAATAGACTTTATAATTATATTTCTTCTAAGATTTGTGCCTAATGTCTCTTATGCTATTTATCTCCTCTTGTTCATACAAAAAAAAAGAGAAAAAATCTTTTCTATGACTTCTTTATATATATATACACACATATATATAGACAGGCATACTATTTATTTTCAGTCTTATGAAAAGTTTTGCTTAAAAAGGGATCTGTTCCATACAAAGATATGTATATTAGATTAAAAGTAAAGCTGAAATTTAAAAAGCATCATAACTGTATTAATCAATGATTTTTAAAAATAAACTGATCAGTTCTTAATTCTTCTTCAAACAATGACAACAAAGAACTATTTAGAAAACTTCAAAACATAGCTTCAAACTGAGATCAGCATCTAGATCAGACTATGAATTTCTAAAAGTCATTTTTTAGTACATTCTCTTTGCCAGCAATTCAGAGCTCCTCTTCCTGGGCCCAAGTTCTCAGACTGACCCCTGGTTGTCAGGAAGCTTCCATGTGGTATCTCCCTCATTCTTGTGCTTTTCGCTGCAGTGTCGTGACTCAACTTTTCCAGAATTTATCACATAAAAATGTATCAAGCCTGTGTTTCTTTCTGTGAAGATCATTCTTTTCACGAGAAAATAGCTAGCTGTGCCAGTAAATTCATACACACTGATATGTAAAAATAAAACAATTTCATTATCTGCTGTAGTTAGATGATGTGTAGGGCATTAGGAAAGGCACATGGTTTTCAAATATTTATTTGTGATGGTTTTCAAATAAAAGCAGTACTTTCCAGGCATTTATTTTTAGAAATTATTATTATTGAGCAACTCGGTGCGCGTGGACAGCGGCTGCCGGATGCTCTATGAGCAGCCCAACTACTCGGGCCTCCAGTACTTCCTGCGCCGCCGCGACTATGCCAACCACCAGCAGTGGATGGGCCTCAGTGGCTCCATCTGCTCCTGCCGCCTCATCCCCCACGGGCGTGCAGTCCCGCCGAGTCCCTTCGGTGCCCTCGAGTCGCATCAGTGATCCACGTGGATGATTCACAGGACAGGCGATGGGATGAGATGGCAGCTTTCTTTCTTCTGGCTTGAACCATATTCTCTTTTCCTTTATTAACATCCATAAAGTTTCCTCCCACTGAAAAAGTATGTGAATGCAGTGCTTTCAACTGGACATTTTATTTTGCTGAAGTCAAATTCACCTCTACAGGGAATAAGTTGTATTTGGCATTAGCTCAGAGTGTCTATGCCACAGCTGATAGATGAACAACAGAATTCCTTGCTCTCAGGTGGTCCTAAACTAGGTACTTGGCTATTTCTTGAAGAGTACCTAAGCTTGGTACTCTTCACCTATGAATTAGGACTAATAAGAGTAGTTCCTTTCTAAGTCTGCAGTGAGGGTGAAAGGAGGGCGCCTGGCACAGGCCAACTCCCACCCCCAAGCATTAACTATTATTACGAACATCAAGGGTATCTGAAGTCCTGCCTTCTGATTAGACAAACCGGTAACCAACATTGAGATTCCAACAGCTCCTGCAGGGCCCACTGCTACCCAAATGAAGCCCCGCACCCTGGAATTTCACAGTTAGGGATTCTCTAAAATGACTATGACAGAGTCTGGGGAAAATACACCCCTTCTGTGAAATTTGAAATCCCCTCAGAGGATTTAATAGGTTGATAGGGACCCAATCAGGCTTTAGGAGCTAAAAAAGATTTCCAATTTCAAGTTCCAACTCTTCTTTTTTTTCACTGTTACAATTTATCAAGACAATAAATATGGGTCACAGGCAAGTGGAGGGAGAGGAAGACCAAGATTTTGATGTTGGATTGTTTTTAATATGTAATGTTTATTGAAACATCCAACTTTTCTAATTACAGGCTTTAGGATCCAGTCTTTGATGAGTTCACGTCCTTTGTAGGGACATGGATGAACCTGGAGACCATCATTCTCAGCAAACTGACACAGGAGCAGAAAATCTAACACCGCATATTCTCACTCATAGGCGGGTGTTGAACAATGAGAACACATGGACACAGGGAGGGGAGCACTACACACTGGGATCCGTTGGGGGAAAATGGGGGAGGGATGGGGGGGTGGGGAGGTAGGAAGAGATAGCATGGGGAGAAATGACAGATACAGGTGAGGGGACGGAAGGCAGCAAACCACACTGCCATGTGTGTACCTATGCAACAATCTTGCATGTTCTTCACATGTACCCCAAAACCTAAAATGCAATAAAAAAATGAAGCATACATGATAAAAACAAAAAACAAAAAACAAAACAAAACAAAAAAGATCCAGTCTTTAGTTTTCTCGTAAAGGGGAAAAGCTTTAATATTGCTCCACATGTTCCAGGGTGTTGTGAAGAACAAATGAAGCAACAACATGTGAGTCCTTCGCAAACACGGAATGCTGACCAATGTAAAATACCTTATTAGCAGCTGTTGACACCACAAAAGGAATGGCGTATGAGAATCCTTCCTAAAGAGGGTTTCAGTGATGGAAGAAGAAACTCATTGTGACAAGGGTAAGAAACAAGCAGATGAAGGAAGAACAAGTGCTCAGGAGAGAAAAGGCAGGAATCGCTCAGGAAAAACGGCCTTTCTCTTTTTCTAAAGATTTGTATACTCTTTGATGCCTCCTTCAAGATCTTGAACTTCAATTTTTGGTTATTACCTAAAACTGATTTGGAGTTTGGAGCACATGTTGGAGCTGAAAACTGAAACCTAGTCTTTGCGAGGTTGTTGCTTTTCAGCATTTTAGAGCAACAAGGCTTAACTCAGAAAGGCACGGAAGAAGAGATTTCCCCAGCTGGACTTTCTTCCTGAATTGCCACCCATTTGTGCCTGGCTTGAGTAAAAGCAATTGAACCTTCTCTTCCGCTAGCTTCAAATGTTATTGAGATCCCAAATAATACCTGTTGCCAGGAACACATTTGTCTTTTTGTTTAAAATCTTATTATTTCGCATGTCATTCAGGGAAAGCCCCAAACCACCAGAAATTCATAAAGGAGAGAACGAAACAAATACATAAAATTCTTGAAAGTGGTACTAAGCATGACCAGTGTGTCTATTCATATAGATGTACCAAAAACCCTAGGGAGCACCATTCATACCAAATGAATGGGGGAATGGCACCCTCTTGAGTTTCACAGTGGACAACCTACTCAACTATACACAGCAGCCCCGGTGTTGGCAGTCTCTTTCTTTGAGTTTGGTTACCTTTGATACAGCAAAGATTTTTTTAAAGACCATTCCCCAAGGGTCCCTGCCAGAATGAGGTCAGGTTTTCTGATGTTCCGTCATCTGCTATTTGCTGAACCCCCAGACCAGCTCCCACAGGATCAGGATCTATGAGCGAGAGGACTGCAGGGGCCAGATGGTGGAGATCACCGAGGACTGCTCCTCTCTTCACGACCGCTTCCACCTCAGTGAGATCCACTCCTACAACATGCTGGAGGGCTCCTGGGTCCTGTACGAGCTGCCCAACTACCAGGGGCGGCAGCACCTGCTGAGGCCGGGGGACTACAGGCGGTGCCTCGACTGGGGGGCCGCCGATGCCAGAGTGGGCTCCCTGAGGAGAGCCGTGGAGCTCTACTGAAATATTTTTACTCTATCCTGTGCTCCATCTGGAAACTAATAAAATATTTCTTGTGTGTCCCATGCAGTGATGTATCCTCTGTTCCTTTCAGCCTCCTTGTAAGGGCTCAGCAAAACTCATGCTGGGAATCATGGGGATTTTCTTGCATGTATCACTGGAAAGGGGTTAAGAGCACAGCCTCTGGGGCCAGAACGCCTGGACCCAGCTCCACTTGCTAGTTACAGGTGTGGGGCAAGTTACTTAGCATCTCTGTCCATCAGTTTCCTAATATGTAAAAATAAGGGAAATAATACTCTTCTTCCCATAAGGTTGTAATGAGATTAAACCTTATTGAGGTTAAGTGGATTAAATGAGTTAACACTTTTAAATCACTTCCTATAGCTTTGCACATTCTCATTTCTAGGAAACTGTTCTGTAAGCTTGATTGTGAAACATCTGGTCACTTCCTTGGTACTCTTCTTAGTAGAAATCCCTTTAGGCAATTGCATTAAGTAGGTTGGCTAAGTGAAATTGCATCAGAGGGAAATAGGGATTGAGATAAATTTGTTAAGATAACCATGTCTGACATATCTGAGGTCTAAAAATATGTGACTGACTGAATTGATTTATTCTTATTTATGTGTCCAGAGCACAAATAAAGAAACCAAGTGCTATCTTAATAAACAGCCTTAAGGAAATCTTTAAAACATAGTTCTTAAGGGAGCCACACAAGACTCAGGCAGTGTGCAGTGGTAAAAACAAGCACACAGTACAGTAGCAAAGGCAGAAGGTACATGACCAGGAAAATAAAATTCAGTAATGAAAAGCTTATCATTGGCTGTGCAGATATTATCCTCAAACATAAATAAATCCTTATGACATCTAGTTTATGAATCAGCACTTGATAATTGTAACAATAAGAAAGAAAAAGGAAATTTATGAGGACTAATCATGTAATGGTGTTCAACATCTCTGCATAAAGATAGAGTTCATCAAATGAAATCAGTTTCAGGCTGGGTGTGGTTAGGGAGGCCAAGGTGGGTGGATCACCTGAGGTCAGGAGTTCCAGACCAGCTTGATCCCGTCTCTACTAAAAATACAAAATTAGCCAGGTGTGGTGGCACATGCCTGTAATCCCAGTTACTCGGGAGGCTGAGGCTAGAGAATCGCTTGAACCTGGGAGGTGGAGGTTGCGATGAGCTGAGATCATGCCATTGCACTCCAGCCTGGGCAAGAAAGAGCAAAACTCTGACTCAAAAAAAAAAAAAAAAAAAATCTATTTTGTTATTCTATTATGTCAAAAGCTTTTCTTTAAATCCAAATGCTAAATTTTTTACACGCTTATATGTAATCAAGAAAAATCAAATTTCTTCTTCGCCTAAGAGTTTGCTGTAACTGTGCAAATGTCAACCTCTTCTTTAATTCACCATAAAATTATTTCAAGAAGAAATAATTTTATGGTGAATTAAATGGCCGTGATTACAAAGGAACCACTAAAAACTATTACTCTACTTGAGTAAAAATATTAATCAGTTAGCAAATACATTACTTCCAAAACTCCAAACATTAAAGTGATAAAGTAGCTAAATCATTTAGGTCTAACATTATACTTACATAACACATTTGCATGCTTCACGATATCTGCAGAAGATCTAAGAGCATTTAGAACTGCTCTGTTAGCCACATGTAGCACTGAACACTAGAAATAGGCCTAGTCCAAATGAAAATGTGTTATAAATGTAAAATACCCACTAGATTTCAATAACTTATTATGAAAAAGAGTACAAATATCTCCTTAATATCATTTCATAGAATTTAATGTTGAAATGAAAATTTTAATATATTAGGCTAAATTAAATACATTGTTAAAGTTAATTTTACCTGTGCTTCTAACTTTTTTAATGTAGTTGCCAGGAAATTGAAAATTACATTTATGACTATTTCTATTGGGTAGTGCTGACCAAGATACCTAAGACGAAAAAGGAATAACTGCAATTTATATTCAGATACAGCTCAGCCTTCAGCATTTTGGTTTAAGATGTTTTATCCTGAAAATTAAGTTATATAAAATCTTGAAAATTAAGAGATAGTAGATAATGTGGTTAAGTTTTATACAGTTATCTACCCTCTTATGAGATGTTAAATTATAATTTTCACCTGTCACTGATTGAGGCTGTGGGAAAAGGGTGAGGCCAAGCCTTGTCTCATTATGTTGTTGTTCTATTAACTACAGTCAATTAAAATTTCTACAGTACACATGAGTTCTTCAAGCACAAGGTCACTTCTTAGTGAATTCTACCCACTCTCCCTCTCCCTATCCAATGATGACCCTTCAATTATGAAATGTTCATTCTGGAGACAAACATGTTTGCTTCCCATACTAAATTCTAAACTTTTACAAACAAGGATAATGTTTAAACACATTGGTATCTTCTCAAGGATGTAGCAGAGTGTGCCTGGCAAAAAGCAAGTCCAAGGGTGTTGAATGAATGCACTCATAATAGGAGGAAGCATCTGTGAATCCATGGTTTTGGAGGATTTAGGATAAGACAGTTCCGTATAAAACATGAGATTCTGGAGAGAGTGCCTTGACTTAACTGAAGCAGCAAGAGGAAACCTAAATGCCTTCAGTGGCCAGGAAGATAATGGGAATGTGAGGAGTTGCTAGTATATACTGGTAGAAAATGGTGGGGGAGGGGGATTCTGTAACTAACTGGAGACCACATGTTCCAACTAAGGGCACTGTGACTTAACAATTTTAAAACACATGGAAAATGTGATTCAGCTGAACCTAATGGCTGCTAGTTTGCTATCTATGAGCAGATAAAATCTCCTCTAAAATGAACACCTCAAGGAAACAACAACAAAACAAAACAAAAAAGCAGGCTTATGAGGTTTTCATGAAGGACAATCATTGGGAATCAGTCCTTTATGTCCACCACATCCTGGTGGCTATGGAATGTCCCTTACTATGTATGATTTCTCACATGTCCAGTTACTATTCATAAAGATTTTATATAAGCACATTCTTCAAGTTGAAAGCAAAACATCATTTACTAAGAGCTATAAGCAGAAAGCAAAGAAGTGGCTACTTATCAAAGAGTAGCTGGGCCACTATCCTGTCTTAATTACTTATCTGGCCTTCTTTGGCCTGCAATTTACGTCCACACCTGAGGGGAGAAGACACATCAGATGTCTTTTCTGTGAGCACCTTCTGTTTTGTCTCCATCCTATTCTACTGCTAATCGTTTCATTTATTCATTTTACCTTTTCAATTATTGGACAAAATCAGAAAGAATAGAATCCAGTTTGATAGACCCTAAAACGTAAAAGAGGCATATATAATCTGATAGGATAATTTAACAAGAGAAAGCCCAGATGCTTCCTGACCTGTCAGTTGCCCTGATGCATCCATAGGTCCACAGAATGGATTTAAATATGAGGCGATGAGGCAAAATCCTGCATGCAAGTTACAGAGGAATTAAGAGAGAGATTGGTCCTTCAATATTCAAGCCCTGGTATTTCACAGCAACATTTGAACATATCAAATAGCTGGGTGAGTGTAGCTTTTTACAAAATTTGAAAACAAAACCTGGAGAATTGAGAAAATGTATGAACTAAGTATTAACAGGTCCAGCAGAAAATCTGAATATTGTATATTGCTCTTAGTGAACAAAATGCTCATAGACCAAAGGCAAAGAAAAAGGCACCTCCAGAAGAGAACATTCCTTTTCTTGCTTCACTCAGGTGCTGATTTTCAAAACTCAGTTCAAGTAGTTTCTTTAACAAGATGAGGCCTGTGGAAAGCTTCCAGGATGCTTGTTCTGAACATGCAATTATATTTACGCTGACACATTGTAGCCATAGAGATATTTGTTGTCAGGCTTACTGTCTGAGGGAACTCTCCACAGTCAAGAAAACTAGAATTCCTGAATTTTGATAAGAGACTTTGAAGTGATAAATTGTTTACAGCACTTGAGAGGTAAAGACATTACTGAGTTATAGCTACAGATTAGTTTTATGAAAAACCCGTTGCCCTAGTCAGTAGAGCAGCTGAATGTCGTACTTATTAATGAAATGGAATAAGACCACTGATATATTTGATTCATAAGAAATATACATGAATAGCTCAACCCTACAAATTATGTGCATTTCACACCAGAGGACCCAGTGTGATACATATATATTGGTTATGTTCACTCACAAGTTTATGTCAGATACTAGCCAAACAAATTAGGAAAAAAAAGTGGAGAACGCAGAAAGAAGAATTTATCTGCAGGATTACAGTTTATTTACTACTTTGTAGTTTATATGTGTATTTTGTGAAAATGAAAGCAGTGGAGCATTTTCTAAACTGCTTCCCTAAAAACTCAGGCTGCACATTGCCCCTGGAACACCAGTAGAAGAGAGAAGTCTCATGTTCCTCAGTCTATATAAAAAGACATACCTTCCTCATGTCCTTGTCTTTAATTGGGTTTATGTACTTTGTATTTTTGCAAAATGATATTCTCAATTAGTAATAGCTTAGGTTCAATATACCTACCTGACAGTCCACGTTGTTGCACGGTATGGTAAAGTAAGAATGGCCTTTGCAGTCAGAAGCAACTGCCTTTGGCTTCTTGCTTCTTGGTTCACAGACATGCAAGTTTGGGCATACTTCCAAAGCTCTTGATGTCTTGCTTTCTCTGTATGTATAATTGAGAGGGTTAGGTATTACACGTACTTGCTTTGTTCAGAGCCAGGTAAAGACTGGTCATTAAATAACTGTGTGTATCTTTTATTTTTCTTACTGAAGTTGTTTGCTCTATTTACCTGGTGATTCACGGTAGAACACTTTAATATGCGTGGAGGAAAGGAAGACCATGGAAATTGCAGAGAAGCTGGGATCTTATTTTCACTATGCTTGGAAACTGTAATCTCTCTGAACTTCCTGTAACAGGAGGTACTAAATATCTTTAGATGTTGAGCTAAGTTAAGGTTGAGTTTCTATTACATGTAGCCAAAAGTGTTGAAAATGACAT